ATGAATTAACATCCAAGTGCTTCATGCCTGTAAATTTGCCTAAGAGCTCCCAAAACACACTTTTACAAGCAGCAGGTGTTTTTTTTTTTCTTTTTGCCAAAACACTGCTGCCAGGAGGACAGGCTTCTAGGAGAGTTTGCAAAACGTCCTGTGTGCATCAGGACTTAGGCTACGTTCACACTAGCTTTGTCAGCAGGTGTCAGGCATTTGGGAAGCGTTTTTAACACTTCTCAAATGCCTATGAAAATTCTGCACATGGCAGCACACAGTGCTGTTCACACTGAAGCATTATTGTCGCGTCGCGGCAAAACTGACACCTCGTGTCCAGTCAGGAGTTGAAGCTTCCCATTTAAGTCTATGGTGCCGCTCCGCAAACACCTGGTAGGCGTTTGCAGTGCGTTTGTGAGGCAGTTGCGGGGCGTTAATACCATTTTACTTCATTATAGGCGTTTATGGGCGGTTTTAACGCTTGGCAAATGCCTATCAACCGCCTCAAAACCACGCACAGGGCGTTTGAGGAGCATTAAATGCTTGTCTAACGCCTGTCAAACGTCTGTCAAACGTTATAGGGGGGTGTGTTTGACAAGAGTTAGAAATAAAGTCAAGTGTGAACGAGCCCTTAATATATCATGAAAGCTGGCTGCCTCTCACAGGGGGGCAGCTTGTCCCAAATGACTTCCAGATTCAGACAGCTTGCCCCAAATGACTGCAAGGTTCAGGCAGCTTGTCCCAGCGACTTCAAGGTACAGGCAGCTGGCCCCAGATAATGTGTGCCAGCTCTGCCTACTGGCTGCTGTTTGTCCCTGCTCCTGCTGCTTCTAGGGATATGTGACCTGGTATTCCAGGAGGCTGAGAATTTGGGGTTTAAAAACTGAACTGATTCCTTAATTCACACAATCCATGTGGATAGGGGAATCACTCATGCTGAGCAATTGTATTCTGCCGGCAGGGAGCCTTCGCTGCCGGCAGAATACAATGATGATCTGTTTTGCCAGCTACAGCTGGCGGCACTGATCATTGGGTAAAACCTGACAGGCTGGTTGTACAAAAGTCAATCGATAGATTGACCTGTGTACAACCAGCTACCCCATGCATGGATCAATATTTGGCTGGTCCCTGCTGAACTGGTCAAATTCCGTTCCATGTTTGGCCAGCTTAAGACAGCCATTCCCAATCAGGGTTATGCGAACTATAGGATTTCTCCAGAGTCCCTGCAAATTTCTGGGTCGATCTTTTTTTTTTATCTGCCTGGAAGAGAGGGCATTCTTTCCATTGCTGTAAGAGGAGCAATTTTTTCCCACTGGCCACCAATGTACAGGGGGAATTTTCCTCACTGACTTTCGATTTTAGCAAGGGGTTCCGTGGGACCTGAAAATTATTTTAAGGGTTCCTCTTCAGTAAACTGAGAAAGATTGCTGAGAAAAGTAATACACAGAAGTGGCTTGATCACAAAGGGATGTTTCCAAAATTCAGTTTGAATGCAAAGTCTGCCGTAACATGCTTCCTAGAAGCCCTGTAATGTAAGGACTGCTTATGCTGTCTAATTAAAATGTACACTTTCAGAAGGATTTGAAAGGTTTTGGTTTTTTTTTTAAAAGGTGTTTATTTTGCATTTATAAAACACAAACAAGAACAAACAAGAAAAAGACAAATAATAAGAGGAACTCAAAACTAAAATAAAAAAGTAAGGATACAGAAAGGGGATCAAGACACAAACAACAAATTATTGCAGACCGGAACCCCATACATACAGTCAGGTCCATAAATATTGGGACATCGACACAATTCTAACATTTTTTGGCCCTATATACCACCACAATGGATTTGAAATTAAATGAACAAGATGCGCTTTAACTGCAGACTGTCAGCTTTAATTTGAGTGTATTTACATAAAAATCAGGTGAACGGTGTAGGAATTGCAACAGTTTGCATATGTGCCTCCCACTTATTAAGGGACCAAAAGTAATGGGACAGAATATTAATCATAAGCAAACTTTCACTTTTTAATACTTGGGTGCAAATCCTTTGCAGTCAATTACAGCCGTGGAACGCATAGACATCACCAGATACTGTTTCATCCCTGGTGATGCTCTGCCAGGCCTCTCCTGCAACTGTCTTCAGTTCCTGCTTGTTCTTGGGGCATTTTCCCTTCAGTTTTGTCTTCAGCAAGTGAAATTCAATGCTCAATCGGATTCAGGTCAGGTGATTGACTTGGCCATTACATAACATTCCACTTCTTTCCCTTAAAAAACTCTTTGGTTGCTTTTGCAGTCTGCTTTGGGTCAGTATCTGCAAAGCAGCAGTCCAATGAGTTGTGAAGCATTTGGTCTGCATTAAAGCCCGAAATTCAATACTTCAGAATGCTTTTGAGAACAATCAATAATACAGAGAAACATTGGCAGCCAAGTGCTTTACCACCCCACCATGCTTCACTGATTGAGGTGGTATGCTTAGATCATGAGCAGTTTTCCTTCTCCATACTCTTCTCTTCCCATCACTCTGTTGACAAGTTGATTTGGTCTCATCTGTCCATAGGATGTTGTTCCTGAACTGTTAAGGATTTTTAGATGTCGTTTGGCAAACTCTATTAATCTGGCCTTCCTGTTTTTTGAGGCTCACAATGGTTTTCATCTTGTGGTGAACCCTCTGTAACCCGCGGTGAAGTCTAAAGGTGTATGGTGACTGACACACATTACCTCCTGGAGAGTGTCTTGATCTGGCCAACTGTTGTGAAGGGTGTTTTTCACTTCACAGGGAAAGGATTTGATCCACCAAGTTGTTTTGTGGTCTTTCGGGTTTTTTGTTGCTGAACGGCTGGGTGCGTCAAAGAATGGTTCCAAACAGTTGTTTTGGCCATTAATTTTTTGCTATTTCTGATTTGTTTTGTTTTTTCAAATGATAGCTTGCTTCACTGATAGTGGGACAGCTGCCTTGTAAAGAGTTGACAGCAACAGATTCCAATGCAAAATAGCACACGAATGAAAGAAACTCTGGACCTTTTATCTGCCCATTGTAATTTGGATAAAAGTGAGGGAATAACACACCTGGCCATGGAACAGACTGAGAAGCCAATTGTCCCATTACGCTTTTTGGTCCCTTAATAAGTGGGGGGCACATATGCAAAACTGTTGTAATTCCTACACCGTTCACAATTTGGATGTAAATACCCTCAAATTAAGATGACAGTCTGCAGTTAAAGCACATCTTGTTCATTTCATTTCAAATCCCTGATTGTGGTGGTGTAAGAGCCACAAACAGTTAGAATTGTGTAGATGTCCAAATATTTATGGACCTGACTGTATAACAAGAGAGAATCACAGAACAGAATATTAACAACAGGCAAGCAGTCAGAAACATACAAACACACAGCAAACACATACAACAGTCACACACAAACACCATCAACTCCCTTACAAATCAGAGGAAATCATTAGCATGTAAAATCCAACCCCTCAAACCATAGAACCCTGTGACAATGGTTATGACAAGACATCATCTCCCCAAAAAGAGTCTGCTATATCCAGCCAAGGCTGCCAGACTGTCGTAAATGTTTTGGGGCAGGCCCGTCCTTTATAGATCAGTTTTATATTGAGGCAGCACCAGATTAACCATGCGGTGTATAGAGGGCGGACTATCACCTGAAAGGTTTAACCTGCTGTCCAGGAAAGTTCAATATGCAATTGTGTGTAGGTGACAAATCCCGCATTTGAATTCATCATATGGATTCTGAGGGAAATAGCTGTGAAATATAGAGGTAGAATTTCCTAAAAGAGCAGAACAAATTAATTTGTAACATTCATAATTATATATTTTTATATATAATATATATTATTTATAATTTTAATAATATTATTTTACAATGAAATAATAATACTTTTTATATTTATACATATTGGGTAGATTTACTAGAACTGGAGAGTGCAAAATCTGGTGCAGCTCTGCATAGAAACTAGTCAGCTTCCAGCTTTTATTGTCAAAGCTTCACTGAACAAGCTGAAGTTAGAAGCTGATTGGCTACCATGCACAGATTCTATGTGCACCAGTTTTAATAAATCCCACCCATGACGTTTTATATTTATATGATATTTATCTATACATATTTGTATTCAAATGTAAAATTCATATTCATATGTAAAGTACATTTTAACTTTGCAAAGTGATTTTTTTCACCTAGCTTAGTGATTGAGGTGAAGTTTAATGAAATTTCACTTTGCCAAGAGTACCCAATCATGTGCAGGGGAAAAAAAAAAAACAGGATTTTTGCTTGCACGTGATTGGATGATTGACAGCACAGCTTCACTTCAGTCACTAAGCTAAATGAAAAAAGTTACATCTCAAAAGTGAAAATTCTCTATTCTTTCAGTAAATCATTTTCTAAAACAACTATCATCTGATGTACCAGACAACGGCATAATACTGGCATTATGTACAACGTTGATCAGATGCTGAAAGTAAAAGCACAGTTTCTAGCTCCCACTTGCAGTTCTTTGAAGACCATTTGCATTGTGTGAACGGATGTATGACTAAATATGGCCACACACAGAGAATAGACTATGTACACAATGTGGCAGCAAGCGGGACTGCAAATGTTCGATTTCCTTTCAACTAGCGCAGCGAACACCTGTGATCTGAGCCCACACACTGAGCAGCTGGAGGCACAGAATGCCAGGCCATAGCATGTACATGTCATGTGTAGCACTTTCCATATGCAGCATCTGTTAGTCTGTCCAGTCTTGGGAGACTTTGTTGGAAACATGACAAATGATTATCCTCTGCACCATGGCACTCACGTGATAACAGATTCTATAGCTGTCATTGTGTGAGAGGCCTACAGGCAATATGTCATTACAAGAAGCACGTTACAGAAACATTCCTGTTCTGGTATCTGTAAGAATTTGTTATGAACCTTGCAAATTCTTTTCTATTCATTCTTTTTTTTTTTTACAAATGTTCATATACTGTACATGCTAAGATGGCTCCATTGATAATAATGCTATGTATGGGGAAGCCTGTGACCAGGGGTGGACTGACCATTTGGGAATTCGGGCACTGCCTGAGGGCCCGGGGTCAGAAGAGGGCCCTATGAGATGCCCCTGGTACCTTTCATAGGCTTTTTTGGGTGTGGTTTGAGTGTGGGCAAGGACACAGGGGCCCCATGATCCCCTATTGCCCGGGGGCCCCATGAGTTGTCAGTCCGTACCTGCCTGTGACTTCCTTCCATGATGCAGAGCTCAGGGGTATGAGCCAATGACAAGGCCCAAACAATGCATTATGTGAGGTTGTCAAATAGTCTGACCTACCCAGAAGTAATGGGTATTTTGTACTGATGGCCACAGAAGATATAGTAGTGGGGGAGTACTGGAATGGTGAGTAAAATTGGTCGGGGGTGGGTGGGCTTTAGATAGGCCCTGTCGCTTTTCCCTGAATGGACATGATGTTCACTTTAGAAAGACATATGCAGAGCTGACTCTCCTCAAAGACATTTCTGTACGTCATAGTATTTCCAAATAAGTTGTATACATTTTTAGAACCTGTCAAATTTTGTCTTATAGTTACATAGTTAGTCTGGCTGAAAAATGACAAAAGTCCATTCAATTCAACCATATAAAAAAAAAAAAAAAAGTTATAATCCTATACCCACAGTTGATCCAGAGGAAGGCAAAAAAACCAGCAAAGCATGATCCAATTTGCTCCCGCTGGGAAAAAAATTCCTTCCTGATCCCCCGAGAGGCAATCGGATATTCCCTGGATCAACTTTACCTACAAATGTTAGTAACCAGTTATATTCTTTGTATCTAGGAAAGAATCCAGGCCTTTTTTAAAGCAATCCACTGAGCTGGCCAGAACCAACTCTTGAGGGAGTCTATTCCACATTTTCACAGCTCTCACCGTGAAGAAACCTTTCCGTGTTTGGAGATTAAATTTCTTTTCCTCCAGACGTAAAGAGTGCCCCCTTGTCCTCTGTGATGACCTCAGGGTGAATGACTGTACACCTAGTTCACTATATGAACCACTGATGTATTTATACATGTTGATCATATCCCCCCTTAATCTCCTCTTCTCAAGAGAGAATAAATTCAGTTCCTCTAATCTTTCATTTTGATCTGATATTTTTAAATACAACTAATACAAAAAGATCACCTTCCAGTTGGTGTAGGTCCCAAACCCTCTTTTCGTACACACTTATGCAGAACAAGGGAGTCACATCTCTACCTCTAAAATGAATTTATAAGAGAAATAGTGCTGCATTAAAAAAAAGAACAAAAAAACTACTACCCTTACAAAAACATAATTGAATAAAAATCAATATTATATCCAACTTGATCCTTATTAAAGGGAAAAAAGCTATATGTAATACCACACAAATATTAGTGACACAAACCAAATAGTGTAAATAAGGTCCAAATAGCTCCCTAATATGGGGCATACAACCATTAATCCTTGATATACTGTTGAACATGTAATATGCACAATAAACGAAAGATACAAATTATAAAATAAATATAAAATATATAATCATATAGATACTGAGAAAATAAATACAAAGTGATAGTCCATATTAAAGTGAATAACAGAGGTGTAATTCCATGAGTCTTCTCCTTTAATATATGTGTGTAATATCCACCACCACCAGGCATGCATGCTCCCCTCCACCGATTCACCCACATCACATAGGTCAAATAGGGCAATACTCCAAATCCTCCTTTCCTCTGTGTCCTGGTCACTGAGAGCCGAAAGTCAATCCCAACGATGGAGATGAAACTTCCAGCCAGGAATGCACCATCTTTAAATCTGACCAGAAGACAAGTCTTTCCCACTGCAGAATCACAAACCAACATCACCTCTCAGGGACCGGTATCAGCCCTGGAACGAGGCGTGGTCTCCTGACTCCGCTGACAGCTCCACCTGCCAGTCACCTCCTTACCTCTATTTATCATTCTCCTGGATTTCTGCAACTCAATTTCTCCAGTGGAATGACTGTTAAAATTAGGTAGAACTTCCATGTTCTGGAAACCTGGTAGAATGGTAGAAAAGGTTGCAGGAAAGAAAATCGTATCATCTATGGCCGGCATAAGACTTTAAAGGATAAGTCCACCTTTAGGAAATGTAACATGTTCCTCCTGTTTTTTCGGTGGAACACGTAACATGTTCCCACTGCCGAAGTCACTGCCCGCTCCGCTGCATCTAGTGACAGCTAGCAAGGGATCTTCTCCCTCTGCTTGCTATTACTATTTTAAAAATATGTGGCTCTGTCCACCCAGTTGCATCATTTACTCAAAGAATTCAGTGAATGGAAAACTACAAGTATCGCCATCCTTTGCAGCTGTTGGCTTGTAGTTCTCAATTAACTACCATTTCACTGTTGAGTGTTGTGAAAGTTCAATGTCTCTTCCTGTCAGTGTGCATGTGCCTGCCCATACAGGGTACGAGCACACAGATACACTGACAAGTCTGCAGGAGTCCTGCATGACACCCATGATCTGCTGTGTGCGGGTGCAATGCTTTCTAGGCTCCAAGTAAAAAAAATAATAAATGCACCTTTTTTTTACAGTACCTTGAAAAAGTATTCATACCCCTTTGAAATTTTTTCACATCTTGTCATTTTTACAACCAAAATGTAAAAGTATTTTATTGTGATTTTATGTAATAGACCAACACAAAGTGGCACATAATTGTGCAGTGGAAGGAAAATGATAAATAGTTTTCAACATTTTTTACAAATAATATCTGAAAAGTGTGGAGTGTATTTGTATTGTAGTATTTTGTAGAACCACCTTTTACAGCTGCAAGTCTTTTTGGAGATATCTCTACCAGCTTTGCACATCTAGAGAGTGATATTTTTGCCCATTTTTCTGTCAAATTGGATGGAGAATGTCTGTGAACAGCAATTTTCAAGTCTTGCTAAAGATTCTCAATTGGATTTAGGTCTGAACTTTGACTGGGCCATTCTAACACATGAATATGCTTTGATCTAAACCATTCCATTGTAGCTTTGGTTGTATGTTGAGGGTCATTGTCCTACTGGAAGGTGAACCTCCACCCCAGTCTCAAGTCTTTTGCAGATTCTAAAAGGTTTTCTTCTAAGATTGCCCTGTATTTGGCTTCATCCATCCTCCCATCAACTCTAACCAGCTCTCCTTTCCCTGCTGAAGAAAAGCATCCCCACTACATGATGCTGCCACCACCATGTTTCACGGTGGGGATGGTGTGTTCAGGGTGATGTGCACTGTTAGTTTTTCACCACACATAGTGTTTTCCTTTTAGGCCAAAAAGTTAAATTTTGGTCTCACCTGACCAGAGCACCTTCTTCCACATGTTTGCTGTGTCCCCACATGGCTTCTTGCAAACTGCAAATGGGACTTCTTATGGCTTTATTCTTGCCACTCTTCCATAAAGACCAGATTTGTGGAGAGCACGACTATTAGTTGTCCTGTGGACAGATTTCCCCACCTGAGCTGTAGAACTCTGCAGCTCCTCCACAGTTACCATGGGCCTCTTGGCTGCTTCTCTGATTATTAATGCTCTCCTTGCCAAACTATCAGTTTAGGTGGATGGTCATGTCTTGGCAGGTTTGCAGTTGTGCCATACTCTTTCCATTTTCAGATGATGGATTGAACAGTGCTCTGTGAGATGTTCAAAGCTTGAGATATTTTTTTATAACCTAACCCTGCTTTAACCGTATCCACAAGTTTATCCCTGACCTGTCTGGTGTGTTTTTTTTGGCCTTCATGATGCTGTTTGTTCACTAACAAACTTCTTAGGGCTTCAGAGAACAGCTGTATTTATACTGAGACTAAATTACACACAGGTAGACTATATTTACTAATAAGATGACTTCTGAAGGCAATTGGTTCCACTAGATTTTAGTTAGAGGTATCAGACTAAAGGGGGCTAAGTACAAATGCATGCCACACTTTTCAGATATTTATTTGTAAACAAGTTTGAAAACCATTTATCATTTTCCGTCCACTTTTACAATTATGTGCCACTTTTGTTGGTCTATCACATAAAATCCCAATAAAATACATTTACGTTTTTTGATGTAACATGACAAAATGTGGAACATTTCAAGGGGTATGAATACTTTTTCAAGGCACTGTACTTTTTTTTTTTAAAGGTAAACTTATCCTATAAGTCTGGTACACGTTAAGTTTTTTGTTTTTGTTGTACGCTGAAGAAAAGAAACCCAGAGAAGTCACTGTAGTAAGGATGTGATGTTAGTGCGGTGATCTGTCACATTGAACTATTGTGTTCTGACAGGGGGTCTGTCCCCCCACCAGAACACACTGATCAGTGCTCACAGCCATTGGCTGCTGGTTTTCCAGCATGTCCCTTCGACAATATCCGATCATTGAATTGGCTTCTGTCGGACAGACAGCTGTACACACTGTCCGAATGTTGGCCGGTTCCTGCTGAACCAACCGATATTCGGATCTTGTGTACCCAGAGCTAATCTACACAAACATATAAGGCCCAGCCTAATCTACCAAATCCTAACTTGCTTATCACAAGCTAAAAATAAAACCTCAACTCCGAATCGTCTCCATGTAGATGTCTCTACACGTAGAAGTTTCAGATTCTGCTGTTGGCCGCCACTTTTAAAAGAAAATAAAATAAGCCTTGCATAAAACCAGCGTGGGCACTCAAGAATTGTATCTGGATTCAAAAGTGCAGTATAAGGAACATCTTATATTTAAAAAATCCTGAAGTGTCTGCATAGGAATGTTTATCAATGCCGGGAACTCATTCATTTTAGAAGAGCCTCTTGAAATGCCATGCAGATTTTAACTCATCCCCCTTCTTCACTCAGATACTTTCACAGCAGTAACAGGAATCACATTCCATCAAGCTATGCAGTGGAATGAGCACACAGTGCTCAGTATGCACATAGCATATTGAGTAAGTGACAGTTCATGCCTCTTCTTTACAGTTTATGCTGGAAAGAGGGAACTTTCACAAGAATACCTGTTCATTGTACTACTGCACAATACATATTTTAATTTGTCTTTTCTAAATGACCAACTTAAAATACAAATAACAAAGATTAAGAATAAAAATAATAGTTATAATATTATACGTGAGTTATATAGCTCCAAGGATATGCACAGCGCTTTACAATATAAAAATACACAGTACAGTTACAATACAACAAAATACAAGAGGGTTAAGAGGGCCCTGCTTATAAGAGCTTACAATCTAACACGGTGGGGCAAGTGGTACAAAATGTTATAACTGTGGAGATGATGGAAGTGATAAAAGTTCAGTTAGTTGGAGGTGTGATAGGCTTCCTTAAAGAGATGAG